TGCCTGGACAACCACATTCCTTCAGTGACATGGTGCTTTTCCTGCTTCCCCATCCTACCTATCTATTATTTTTACATATAGGTTTGTTCCAAAGTTTGGAAAAAACCCCAAATTTTTTATTTTACTTTTTAATTTTTTAAGAAAACCATATTTTTCTCTGTGTGTGTAGTTCCCAGATACACCTCTCTGTATATGTATATTCAAAAGGATGACAGGGCAGATCTTTAAAAATAACTGCAATCAAGGATAATAAAAATCTCTTAACACCAACTTAAGTTTGCTTACTAGCAATGTATGCACTTCCCAGAGCTGCTAGCTCATGAAACCAAGACTTTAAAAAAATCTTCTAAAGTCAACTTTGACTCAGTTGCTCTGAAAGCTGTAATGGGTCATACAGCGGAAAAACAGAGCTAGGTATCTAAATTTGCAGTTATTTACACAAAGTGTTTTGGAACTTGCTGCTTTGTGGGCCAGAAACATTGAGTCAGGATCTGTGACCGGGTTGCCAGGTAAGAACTACCTCCCTCTTGCTTGCCACATCAGCTGGGGTCTCCTCATTCTGTGGTGCTCACTACCCCACTCCAAGCAAAGCCTGAGGGACACAGCGGGGAAAAAAGCCCATAACAAGGCAATATGCCTATACCTTTTTTTTTCCCCCAGACTTCTGCCAACAGCAGAGATGAGACTCACTGACTGGCTGCACCTCACTTTCAGCAGTGATATTGCCTCCCAAAGTCACCCTAACTACATGAACAATTAAAAGTAGGTGTGTCCATTGAGCCCTGTTCCTCCTCCCACCCTTACAATACACACATTAACAGGGACAGCAAAATCCAGCCAAAGCAGGATTTTTAATACTAAAAATGGTTTCAAAGTATTCTAACCAATAAAATAACTCTTTAACAGAAGGAAAATAGAAGCTCTAATGAGAGAACTGAAGCAAAAAGAGAAAAGCAGTAACAAGCAAGAGGATGAGGTAGAATTTTACATAGCTTAAAAGGGAGGCAAGGAAACACAAGCTGAGACCTCAGAAGAGGTGTTGAAAAATAATTTATTTTAAAAGATTTTATTATTATTGATACGAGGTCCTGAGCCTGGAAGCTGCTGGAGAACTCCAGAACCACCTTGTAGTAAAGAATAAACACACAAACCAGAGACCTAAGGATAGCCTATCCTTTAAGAGAGTAAAAATTAAAAAACACATTGGTTCACGCTACAAAAATCCTGCATCATTCAAGGAAAGCTATCCTTTAGGTGACTTCTGTGCTAAGGAAGGGAAGAATATTCTGCAAGGAACAGACATGAGTGAGCAAGAATCCGCCTACTAGCATGCTAGAAGGAGAGCTGAAGAAGAGATTCCCCATGATCACCCTGGAGACCCTTTCTGATCCACAAGCAAGATCTTCAACATAAGTCATCAGCAAATTAAATGGTGCAAATAAGAAATTCTGATTTATGAAAGATAGCCCATCTTTTATTGGCAGTTTAATGGCCTGCATCTTAGTAAAAGGGAAATGCAAGTAGAGGAGATCATGCAGCCAGCAGTCAGAAATACATTTTTTGAAAAAGCAAGGTGCTCGCTTATCCATTTGGTTAAAAAAAAAAAATTATGACAAAGGTTGAAAATTATCTGCCAAACAGAAGTCTTTTTAAACTACAAAGGTAAAACATAAAAAAAAAAATTATGACAAAGTTGCAAAATATCTGCCAAACAGAAGTCTTTTTAAACTACAAAGGTAAAACAACACCAAATATAAGCAACTTATCTTGCCTGAGCAGGAGCTAAATGTATGAGGTACTACTGAAGCTAGAAGAATCAGATACATGGTTGGACAGATCCATGGTTACCTTATTCAGAAAGAAGTAACTGAACCCTCAGACAAGGAGGAGGGAACCAGCATTATCAAAAATAGCATTAATCAGTCCAGTTGTCAAAGGTCTCCTTTGACATTATCATCCCACATGCTCAGAGACTGATGTGTTATCAGATAAAGCTACTGCAGGCTAAACAGGTATGTGCTATACTGCACAGAAATCGTAACAGAGGGTAAGAAGATGCCCATATAAAATACCGGAGGAAGCTCTGTTAGCATTATTCGAGTCTGAATGACATCCACTGTATCTCAGACCTCTAACAGTAAAAGTCACCTCTGAAGTTTCTAGTCGACTGTTTCTTAAACTTACTCTTACAATCCAAGCAAGGCAAGTCTATTCAGTTTCATCTGATAAAGAAAAACTTTCACAGAACTCTGCACTAATTAAGATATAATCATTTAAATCACATAAGAATATGCAGCTTAAAGTGCAGACCAGTGAAACAGCAGTGACTGTGAAACTGGCTACTTTAAAAGTGGAGGACAACTGGAAATCAAAACAGCTGTCAAACAAGCTGGAAAGAAAATGTAAGATATACGTTAACAATTTAATTTGATTCACAGCCATGGGGCATTCAACAAAACAGCCAGGGTTACAGAAAGTAAAGGTAACCCTATGGGAAAAAGAGGGGAGAAAGTTAGTTGTAAAGAACAGAAATCTGTGAGAAGCAAGCAACCAAAAGAGGAACTGAGAAATCCTTGGCCAAAAAGTTAGGGACAGCAGGAATTATATATAAGAAAAATGTGGAATCCAGATAATAGTATTCAACCATTCCTAGATGAAAGCAGCAAAGATGGACAAAGCATTCAATACATTTGTTCCAAATTTGTCAAGAAAGCCTGCTTATATAGACAAAATAGTACGACAGTTCATATGAATTTAAGAAACAAGGCACGTAATTCAGTAATTTATCAAAATACATCATGTCAAATCAATTGCTCAGATTTCAATTTTAGTGTTGCAATAGTACCTTGATGAATAAACTTTTTGAAGAGTACCCAGTCCCACATGTCACTTTGCCTAATGAATTCTAATGCAAAATTAACATGAAATGTGCTGTGAACTGGTTCAGTAACAGACCTCACAACATAACTACAAAGTCACTCAATAGGTACATTTGTCACGGAGTACTGCAGGAATCACTCTGGTCCTGCACAGCATTTTATCAGTAACTCGGATGAAAACAGAAGTCTTTGAAAATATAAAGGATTTGAGATGGGATGTAGAAGAGGAGAGTTGGAAGGAAAAGTTGCTAATGCAACGAAGCAGAATTGTTTCTCGCACTCAATACAGATAAAACATTTGAAAATACTGTAAAAAAAGACAGTGCACATTCAGAACAGGAAATACGTCACAAAAAACAATCTTGGGAAGAAGAACTTCAAATCATGACCGAAACGGTACAGTTTTATAAAAAAAATAGCAAGACCTCTACGGGAAGCCTCATGCTGCCATCTAGAGGAGACTGGTCAGCAGCGGTTTTAATCTTGTTTTTGATAGCCAGTTCCAATTAACAGTCAAGTCAAAAGGGGACTATTAAATTTCAATCCACAAAGATATAATCAAATCCAATACCTCTGGACCAAAACCACAAGTCCCTTAACTTTAATGAACAGATCTTTTGGATTTTTCTTCTTGTTCTCTCACTTATCTAAGTCTGTAAGAGAAAAGAACTTAAAGACAATATTAGGAAAAACAGTCCTGAGAAGCTCTGATCAAACTCCGCATCTAATTTTCTGTGAAAATTTTCCTAAGGTAAATGTATATTATGACACACAAAGCATTCAATGTCTTATAGCCTAAAGGAAAATAAGACTTCAGTGACAAGAAGTTACAAACATGGAGAGCTTTCGTAAAGCTTGAAAATTCAAGATTCCAGTTACTATAGACTAAAGGTTATAACTGTTGGACCTCAGATATTTCATTGTTCGCTCACTTTGTCTTCTTTCCGTATTTATTTGTTCTCAGTAAAAATAAATGGAAATGCATGCAACAAATATTGCTAAGGAAACAACAACCTTGTTAACTTTAATGTAACTCAGGCTCTGCTTAAACTCCCATTTAGCAGGACAAAGCTGCCTGACATTTAAGCCTACTGCTTAACTGAGAAAGCCAATCATCAGCCAATCTTTGTATTTGACTCAGTTTTATTGTTATACTTTAACTTCTACTCCACTAAATGCTTTACACAGTCTTAACAGACATTAGCACTGAAAGTAAAATAAACTTGCAGGGAGTGTGTTAAAATAGGCTTAATGATCTGTTAATAAGAAAGCATTAGGATATCCTAGGTTTACAGTCAAGAAGACTCTCAAGGTCTATTACTGCTTTTTGTTATCCACTGAAAGGAAGGTGAAAGACCTGTAAGCTTATAAACTTTTGGTGCTTTGTGTAGCCCAAGAGTAACTGCAACCAAGGTCTATGCTAGACCAAAATTAAGCAGGGGGAAAAAAAAAAGAAGTGTCAGTACATACAGGTAGCATTTAAAAGAAACACAATACTCCCGAAATCCTCAAAGCTGGATCGATCTGGTAACAACAGAGTCCTAAATGCAATGATGAAAGCAGCTCCTTCTTCAAAAAAATGATAAAAATTGGCTGTTCGTAAGTGGGACGAAGGTCAACTTTAGTACTCAATGACATCACCTCCTGCCACAATTGAGTGTAGAAAAAAACAGCTACAGAAGCAGAAAACAGTATGAACACTAAGTGACAGAAGAATCCCATACACAAATGAAAGTTTCACTGTGGAGGCAGTGCATGAAGTTTGACAGAAGTACTGCCACAAGTATTCTGAGAAATAGCTTTAGTATCTGAGTGGGAAATCAAGCAAAGTGACTTATCGAAGGCAACGTTAAGTCAGGAACAGAAGTCTATGTGCCACTAGACAATACCAGATTTGACATATGACCTCTTGTTATTTCTGCTAAGAAGTTTCCCCCATGCAGGTCGGCTGTAAGTTGGAGATGTAAGCTCGCTCTCTCATCCTGTTTTAGAAGGTCACTAACTGTGACTGTCAGACACTTGCCAAATCTGCCAAGACACTTTTCTAGCTACAGATGTACCATGAGTGCACGCTCTAATGGGAAGATTTGCAATGCAGTCACATCTGCGTACAGCACTTACATTCATCCAGTCCCAGCTGATAAGCCAGGTTCTGCAGGCCACGAACTTTTTCCATCAGGTTAGCTGTAGTGAGGCTCCCCAACTCTAAGAAGAGAGAAAAGTGTGAATTTTAACACTGTCTATAGCCCTCTAGTGACAGTTTACCCGTTTACTACTTCACAGAGCACTTTCAAGTCATACTTCCGAAAAGATCTATTTCCAGTGAACAGAGTATGTTTGAAATTCAAGCTGATGCCACCCCTGATCTTAACATACTGAGAAAAGACCAGCTTTCTCTACTGAAAAAGACAGCTACGGATCTGGTTCATACCGTAATCTGCCACCACTGCAATGAGCAACTTGCCCCATATTTTGGAACTTCTTGTAAGTTCACATTGCTATGTGAACAAGCTACAAAAGAGTATGCAAGGGAATGGACTTACTATACACTAATAATGTGTGTTTAAGCACATTTCTTGCAGCAAGTTGAAATTAATTTGTCCCACTTTCACTTTAGAACGGTTTATCTGGAATTCACATGAGGCAGAGCATGTTCAACGATGTTTACTACAAACTAACAGCTATAACATGCAGCAAATCTACATGCTAGCTACCCCTTCCGTAACTTGCTCATACAGCCTTACCATTCGCTTAGAGATCTTGGATCTGTGAGTGAAGACACATGCATAGAGCATCTCTGAACAAGTCACTCAACAAGTCTAAGCTGCTCACCAAGTTTGATCAGCTGAGGCCCATCAAAAAAATTCATGCCGCTTCTCAAAACAGAGGAGACACCCACTATACTTATGCAGTGAGATTGGTAAGCGAGGTAACTGAAATACATGTAACGTTACACTGCTTCAACTAGTTCTTGCATGCTTGTTTTGAAAAATCAGCCTGCCACTGACATCTGAGTATTTTCTTGGAGATAACCAGATTAATGAAAAACGTGTATCATTAACAAGATAAAGAGACTCCTGAGGTGGAGATTCTGCAAATGTGAGGGCTAGAGATCTGAGGCCACAGGGCCACCTCCAGAACATTTAAAGAGCAAGTGTTTTAAGCCTCTTAAGTAAGTACTGAATTCCCATCTGCCTTGGCAACCTTAATTCCTACCCACAATGTCCATACTCACCCTTTAACATATCGATATCATCATTTTCTAATTCAGCCATCCACTTGGGAGGAGAACTTGTAATAGGCTGTTTTGGAAAAAGAAAAAGTTCACGCTCAGACAAGTGCATTTTTAGAATTATACAAAGAAGTCTGATCTCTTATTGAAAACTAGTTACACTGACAGCAAAAATATGAACGTTCCAGGTGTTCTTCGAGGTATTTTTATGTTTAACCTTGTTTTCTAGCCTTCCCTAGACTTTTTAGAGTAAAACCGGCACACTAGCACCCACAAGCCAAAGTCAGTACGAAAAGCGGGATTTCCTAAAGTTTAAAACCTTCTATTTCTTCCAAGGTGTAATTCTCATTCACAGTAAGTTGCATATGTATTGGGAAAAAAAGAGACTGAAAACAAAAGGATTATGCCAGCATATATTGAAGTAATAACTGAGATACGCTTTACAGAACAAAGGTGTAAAGCCCGCAAGAGGAAACAGCGGATCTACCGCCACACGGGAAGGGGGGAGACGCGAAAGGCAAAGCAGCGGTCACTCACGCTTTTGAAGGAGGCGGCGGACTCGGCAACACCGGGCACTGGGAAGAGAAAACGAAGGGCAGCGGGGAGTGAGCAGCACCCCAACGCCCCCTCGCCCGGCCCCCGCGGGCCCAGCCCGGCCCGCG